TGCCCCAGAGACTCCCAGGATGCCCCATATACCCCCTATACAGCCCCGGGATGCCCCATATACCCTCAGGATGCCCCATAGACCCCCTATACAGCCCCAGGATGCCCCGCATACCCCCTGTGCGGCCCTGGGATGCCCCATATACCCTCAGGATGCCCCATATACCCCCTATACAGCCCCAGGATGCCCCATATACCCTCTATACAGCCCCAGGATGCTCCCTGTGCCCCATGTACCCCCAGGATGTCCCGTACAGTTCCATACACCCCCAGGAAGCCCCATATACCCTCTATATAGCCCCAGGATGCCCTGTACTGGGACATACCCCGCTCACCCTCCAAAAAACCCCCCATAACTGGGGGTTTGGTCCCCTTCCCACCTTGCATGTAGATGACCAGCAGCGTGTAGCAGATGGTGAGCGGCGTCCAGAAGCGGACGGCCTCCGCCGTGGAGAGGAAATCCCGGTTGATGAGCGCCACGGCAGCCAGGTCAGCCACGGCGAAGGTGACGGCCAAAGCATTCCGGAGCAGCTGGGGGATGCCGTGACCGGCGGCGAGGAGGAAGATGCAGACGCCGCAGTAACGCGCTCGGCTGTGCAGCTCGTAGAGGGTGCAGACGTGACGAGCCAGGCGCCGGGCGTAGGTGGCCAGCAGCCCCGCCAGCCCCACCGCCAGCGCCAGGTTGCAGGTGCCGTGGGGAGCCCCTTCCAGCAAGAAGCTGAGGCTGCAGGACACCCCGCAGCCCAGCGAGTACTGGCACAGCAGGTAGAGCTGGCTGCTGTGGGCGCCCTGCGAGAGCAGGACGGCACCGTCAGTTGCTGCTGAGGTTGCAAAGCAGCGAGGGGATGCACGGCTGCATAGCGATGCATGGCTTCCTCCATGCTGCAACCCCACAGGTGTTGCAAGCAGCCAGGGGCTGCACGGCTGCAAAAGCACGCATGCATGCAACGTGATGCATGGTTTTCTCTGTGCCAGCCATCCTCATCCAGCCTGCAAAGCAGCAAGAAGATGCACAGCTTCCTCCATGCCATGGCTCCCATATGCCCCATGGGTGCTGCAAGCCACAGGGGGATGCATTATTTCGGGTGTGCCATGGCCCTCATCCTCCCTGCAGGCATTGCAAAGCTGCAAGGGGATGCACGATTGCAAAGCAATAAATGGTTTTCTCCGTGCCACCTCCTCTGTCCTCCCCACAGCTGTTGCAAGCAGCAAGGGGATGCACGGTTGCAAAGCAATGAGTGCTTTTCTCCGTGCTGCAGCACCCCCCGTAACCCCCACAGCTGTTACAAGCAGCAAGGGGATGCACGGTTGCAGAGCAATGCATGGTTTTCTCCATGCCAGCCCCACGGAGATCGCAAAGCAGTGAAGGGATGCGTGGCTGCAAAGCGATGCGTGGTCTCTGTGCCGCAGCCCCTATAGCCCCCATTGTTGTTGCAAACCTGCAACAGCTGCAGGGTTGCAAAGCAACCCCCCTTGCAAATCTGCAATGGA